ACGTCGGATTTCATAAATGATGTAGTTGAACAAATTAGTAATATATCGGTATCAAGTATTAAAGAGAGATTTGATGAGAAAATAATTAAAATACAAATACATGTAAGGAAAATTTTTAGATTCAAGAAACATTGGTTCACAAATGATTGTAAAAATGCTCGACGAAACTTTAGAAAAGCAGGAAGTTGTATTAGATTTTTTTTTTTGGGGGGGGGGGGGGGTTAAAGCTGAAAAAAAATTAGGAAAAATTAAAAAATGCTTACAATAATAAATAAAGTGCCCCGCCACAGCATGATACGCCCGTCAAATAAATTGTTCAATAATCATAAATTGGTAAAGGTGCAAGAAAATCGGGTAACCTTGATTAACAGATTGACACAGATTTCAATGATCTAATTTCCATTTCTTATCATGTTTAAAATATTGTACATTTATACATCTCTAAGAGACTTACAGCGTAGGGATTAATTATAACAAATAATACATCATATAATTCTAAACTGGCTGTGTTAGAACTTAACAAATATCCATCTGCAGCTTTAAATTGTTTATTGCATATTTTATGGAATAATGGAAATGCTACAGTCTAATAAAAAAATCAAAAATAAATTATTCTTTAGAATATAAAATTCTAAGTGAGACATGACTGCAATTTGTTACAAATATATAATTAAAAATTGAATTTTTTTTTCAATGAACACATGTATAATTAGTTTTAATTATATTATAAAATACTAATTTAGTTTTAATCATACACTAAAACATCAATTTGTTTTAATTACATTACACCAACTGAAAGATCTTTATCTGGACTATAGCCATCAAGAACTCTTAATTAAAATAAGCAACTATGAGGCCATTTCTTTTTGCCCAGCTCTCAAGAGATAAATTAATATAACAGCTGCATTATCAGAGATGCTCTTAGACAACCAGTTAGCTCCTGACAATAAACTCATTAATTTCTCTCTAATTTGACATGCAATTTCTGCTATCAAAAATTTTCTTGACCAGTGCTTGATATTTATGCCCATGGGACAAACTGAATTCCTCTCAAAACATTAACATTTGTTACAGATTGCTGTTAAAGTATATTATAATGATGAAAAAATTAAGTTTTTACTTAATTTAACATTTTTTAATAAGGATTAGTTTTAATTATATTATGCAATATTAATTTAGTTTTTATCATACACTGTATTTTAAAGCATCAATTTGTTTTAATTACATTGCACCAACTGAAAGATTTTTTTCTGAACTAACCATCAAGAACTCTTAATTAACACAAGCAACTATGAGGCCATTTCTTTTTGCCCAACTCCCAAGAGATTAAAGATAAAGATAACAGCTTCATTATCAGAGATCTGCTCTACCAGTTAACTCCTGACAATAAACTCATTAATTTCTCTTTAATTTGACATGCAAATTTCTGCTATCGCAATTTTTCTTGACCAGTGCTTGATAGTTATGCTTATGGGACAAACTGAATTCCTCTCAAAACATTAACATTTGTTACAGATTGCTGTAAAGTATATGATGAAAAAAAATAAGTTTTTACTTGATTTAACATTTTTAAATTAGGATACAACTATATTTTTACATTTTTTAGGATTATGAAATTTAAAGTTTTAAAGACTTAGTTTTTAAAAAAAATTCACTTAAATTTAAGGTCACAGTGACCTTGAAATAGGCCGCGACACACCTTCTACCTAAGATGTATAATTTTGCCAAGTTTGAAAGCTCTAGGTCTAATAGTTTTCTAGCTATGAGTCGGACAGGATTTTTCCATATTTGGCCATAGCATCTTTATTAAAGGTCAGAGCGACCTACTTTTTGTGCGCGACACACCGTCTACCCAAGAAGTATCAACTGTCAAAGTTTGATAATCCTAAGTCTAATAGTATTCAAGTTATGAGCCGGACACGAATGGACAGACGGACAGACGGACGGACACACATTTGGTTATATATTGGGTACATCAAGTCCAAGTCCTATTGGATACTGCTTATTGGATACAAAAAAAGTGTACACACGAGAGAGCATTATTTGGGTAGTTACTGTTCAAATCTTATTGGATATTAATCCTCGTGTCCGTATTTTATTGGGTTTTTTCTTATTGTTTTTTATTCATTCCAAATTTATTAAATATTTAATATTTGCGGGTAAATTCAGACAAGACTGAAAACCTTTGGTTTTGAACCCATATTTTTGTTAATTTCTGTGATATAGCTCTTTTATTGTAACACCTAACTAATTTGTTCTTAGCAATAAGGATATACACCTGTATATTTCAAAATAATAATATTAAAATATATGAATACCTAAGTGCAAAAAAAAAAAAAACGAATTGTGCAAACACAACTCAACACATCTCAGACTCTATTCAACCTTTCTTGAATAGCAAAAATAAGTATTTAAGGAGAAACCTTTTTCAGTCATGACCAATTAATAATAAGCAAATGCCCATTACATGTTGGGCAGAATGAAGGTATGCAACAGGCATTGGACAGGTGTCCAATACCTGTTGGGTTGTATTTTGACGAAGGGATTAAACTACCCAAGAACAACTGAACATGTGTACATTGTCCAATTCTATTTGGGTTTCTTGAATCTCCTCATCAAAATACAACCCAACAGGTAATGGACACATGTCCAACTCCTCTTGGATATCTACATCCCACCCAACAGGTAATGAACACTTGTCCAATTCTTCTTGGGTTTCTTGAATTGCTTCATCAGAATACCACCCAACAGGTAATGGACATCTGTCCAAATCCTTTTCCATATCTACATCCCACCCAACAGGCAATGGACACTTGTCCAATTCTTTTTGGGTTTCTTGAATCTCCTCATCAAAATACAACCCAACAGGTAATGGACACCTGTCCAACTCCTCTTGGATATCTACATCCCACCCAACAGGTAATGGACACCTTGTCCAATTCTTCTCAGGTTTCTTGAATTGTTTCATAAGAATACCACCCAACAGGTAATGACATCTGTCCAACTCCTCTTGGATATCTACATCTCACCCAACAGGCAATGGACACTTGTCCAATTCTTTTTGGGTTTCTTGAATCTCCTCATCAAAATACAACCCAACAGGTAATGGACACCTGTCCAACTCCTCTTGGATATCTACATCCCACCCAACAGGTAATGGACACCTTGTCCAATTCTTCTCAGGTTTCTTGAATTGTTTCATAAGAATACCACCCAACAGGTAATGACATCTGTCCAACTCCTCTTGGATATCTACATCTCACCCAACAGGCAATGGACACTTGTCTAATTCTTCTTGGGTTTCTTGAATTGTTTCATCAGAATACAACCCAACAGGTAATGGACATCTGTCCAACTCCTCTTGGATATCTACATCCCACCCAACAAGCAATGGACACTTGTCTAATTCTTTGGTTTCTTGAATTGCATCATCAAAATACAACCCAACAGGTAATGGACACCTGGTCAACTCCTCTTGGATATCTACATCCCACCCAATAGGTAATGGACACTTGTCCAATTCTTCTTGGGTTTCTTGAATTATTTCATCAGAATACCACCCAACAGGTAATGGACATCCGTCCAACTCCTCTTGGATATCTACATCCCACCCAACAGGCAATGGACACTTGTCTAATTCTTGGGTTTTTTGAGAATCTCCTCATAAGAATACTACCCAACATGTAATGGACACCTGTCCAACTCCTCTTGGATTTCTACATCTCACCCAACAGGTAATGGACACTTGTCCAATTCTTCTTGGGTTTCTTGAATTATTTCATCAGAATACCACCCAACAGGTAATGGACATCCGTCCAACTCTTCTTGGATATCTACATCCCACCCAACAGGCAATGGACACTTGTCTAATTCTTGGGTTTCTTGAGAATCTCCTCATAAGAATACTACCCAACATGTAATGGACACCTTTCCAATTCTTCTTGGATATCTTCATCCCTTCAATAGTATATAAATTAAAAGGTATTGGACATTCTTCTTGGGTTACTCAAATTTTTTTTCATAAGAAAGAAAACCCAATAGGTATTGGACATTGGTTCAACTACTCTTGGATATTACATCCCAACATTAGAATAAAACCCAACAGGTAATGTTTACTTGTCCAGTTCTTCTTGGGTTACTTACACCCTTCATTAAAATTGTCAAATCTGTCTTGGATATTTATACTCTTGCATTAGATTGCAAACCCAGTAAGTATGACATTTACCTTCCCTAGCTGAATTCAAATTTATCTGCATAAACATACATAAGTCCAAAACATATTTCATACTTTAATTCAAACATTCCACATCTCATTCAGTGTACACTTTACAAATGATAGGAAATATATAAGCATTTTGTGCCTAAACTAATTGGCTTTTAAAGAATTTTATAACCATGTTTGAAAAATTTAAATTTAAATATTGGAACTTGGAGCAAGTCATTACAAGTAGGGCAAGATGCTGAAAACCATATTGATAAATAGATCACACCCTTGATAAAATATTTGCATTCAGTTGCTAAGATTGTGTTGTATTATATGGAAAATTTCTATAATCCTGTTTATTACAGATACATGTACAATGCATATTTTCCCTGTAATAAGAAAAATACTTCTGAGATGTAAAAGAATGGATTTAATAGTCACCGATGTTAAAAGATATTACATGTATCTCATTAATCTGGTTTGGAAATCACAAACTTAGTTTTGAAGCCGATAAAACAGTGTCGCACCAGAAAACTCAGTTACAAGTACAATGAATGAATTCATTGTAGCAAAACTTTAAAATAATTGATGCACTATGTCCAAATCTTTTCGACAAATCGGGATAAAGATATTAAATCAAATCATCATTGTTATAAGTCTTAGAGCAAGAGAAAAGTCATTACATGACCAAATTTTACATGTAAGGCTTTGATCCTATATTTCAATAAATGTCAAAATGGTTTTATTTTTGTTTCTCTTCCATACTTTCTTCTTCAGGGTCTCTAATGGCCTATACTGTATGATACCTCCATTGACCCTGCTCTTTTATATTGCCATATGTTTATCCAGTAGCAGTGGTTGTGCTCAGGCAATTTTTGAAATATTCCTCATTTCATGCATCTCCTTCAAATCTGCCTCTGTCCTTTTTATTCATTCTGCAATTAGATAAAAGCATTTCTTTGCCGTATGAAACATGTTTTTCTTGACTACAGTAAGATCAACCTTTATGTTGATCAAACCCAACCAAAAATTAGAAGTATATTTCTTATTCAGAAATATGTATTGATAAATAAAATGGAAGAAAAACTAAATTCTATCAACTCTTTTTTGTTTCTTCTATGTCTAACTGCATCTTCATCCTACCCCCATCTATCAAAATGGAATCATCATTCAACACACAAAACGATGTTGCATATTAATTAGACAGTTTGTTAGTTTCTGATTGTTAAGAAGGAGATTTTAAAAAGATTTTACACCTATTCCATGCAAATTTTAGACTTCTAATGTAACACTATCAGTACATTAGGGGTACATAATCTTCAAAAACATCTCTACACTTAATGATAATGCTTTCACATTTGTATTGTTTTTAGCCCAATGGTTCTGCTAAAGAGGATTTAGAATTGACCCAAACCTTACTAACTGCTTTGAAATTATTTTGACAGAGACAGAGACACACTTGACACTCCATCCCCCGTTTCCTGGGGTATGCTTTGCACAAAATTTAATTAAAATTGACTAAGCTGGATAGAAGTTGAAAATATGAAAAATTACAGTCAAACAGAATATGCATAAATTTCACCACATCAGACATGAAGTAGTGATCCTTAAATAAAGTACACCTACAAGATGAAGCTATTTTATTCCTTTGAAGTGATATCTAGTATTGTTTCTTTTCCTGTATGCCACCTCTATCAGAACAAAATGTTATACACGTATTAAGAGCCATTCTCTGTAATGATTTGAAATTTTATATAGGAGCTGTGGCATGCATAGTCTCAGAATTTCTCCAAACTCTCTACGATAAAAGTCATTGATACCCTAAACTGAACTCAAGCAAAAATTGGTTGCTATGTTTTATAGTTACCATGGCAACATGTCTTAAAGTTCGAAAAATGGCATTTTTTAACGTTTAGAGCCCCATAGTTAACATGTGCGGCAAAGCAAACAATTGGCAATAACTGTTTCCAAAAGCTTAAGGCCTGATGTCTCAAATGCATGATAAACATGTTTGGTAAATCAACTATTACATACGTTACTATGGTAACAAAGTATTCAAAAGTAAAACAAAAAATATTCATTGAATTTCATAGTCATACACGTAAAAATAAAAAGCAATTATAGGATGAAATGTGACCAAATAATAGAAAAAAAGAGCCTTGAAACATTTACCAAGAACAAAATACGATATTTTATTTTGGTTGGCAATGGTTGCCAAGGTTTTTATACCACAGAGAGCCTTTAAAGTAACACTATGTATGTTTAAAACTGATCCTATCTTTTAAAAAAAACACATTTCCTCATAACTAATGATCAATTTTATAAGATGTTGGTGTGCTCCAAGTTTTCCCATTTGAAAAAATTCAGATTAGATTCTTAAAATAGAGCGTTGCTATGGAAATAAGCAGAAAATATATGCTTAAAAACCTGAAAAATACTTTCTTTCCTTGGATACTTACCCTTAAATGTAGATTCCCAAAACTTTTATGATTGATATTTATTAACAGCTAACTTGACTTTTTATTTTGACTATCATCCAATCTCTAAGTGGATGCAAGAGGTTGGCACACAGGGTTTAATATTGATATAAATTTCGCAAAATCGAACATTTTCCCTTCTTGGTAACCATAGCAACAGTGTTGTTTTATTCATCAAATTTTGTCAATATATGATATTCAACTTCAGTTCTAACAGATAAGTACCATTCAAGCTGAGTCCTTTAGTTTTTTCTTGATTAAATGGCAATTTAATTCTTAATGCAGAGAAAAATAATTCACTTTTAAGCACTGGTACTTAGTTTCCATGGTAACACTACAAAGTAGCAATTATACCCAATTTTTCTTATAGTTTTGGTGTTGCAAGGTCCTAAGGATGCATGTTTGCCAGTCTTGAATGTTCATGTTTTTCCTCAAGACAGAAGCATTAACCCAATCTTAGTTACTGGTTTTGCATGGTTTCACTGTGTTACCATGGCAACCATAAAAGTTATTTATAGAATAATATTGCTTATACTTATAAACTTAAGGTAAAACATTTTCATTGTTTTTCTTTAGTCGTTGATTGAGTTTGAGCATGTAACACCTATCATAAGTGAATACGGAGAGATTTTCAGCATATTTCCGCATTTTAAATGTATTCCAAATGTACCCTTGGTTACCACTTACTTAGAGATATATTCTAAACAGTTTCTTTACAGTATAAGTGTCATCAAGGTGTCATGTTTTTGTGAGAATGGTTTGTTTGGTTTTTCTAGGTTTTATTAAGCCACAGTCAAGATTTAAAGTGGCTGAAAATCTCGATTTTTCAAACTTTTCCGGCTGTTGCCATAGCAACTGAGACACATAGCAACGAAATTTTGTTTGATATTTGTTTCTGGTGTCAAGTACTAAGCATGGGTGAAGTTTCATCAAAATAGGTGACCATGCATGGCAACGAAGTTTAAGTGGTTACAGAGAATGGCTATTAACATAACCTATGACCGAAAAGTACCACGGTATTTACAATACAATTAATTAAGTTCTGGAACCAACCCTCAGATGCCCTTAAAACAAATGATTCAAAACTGGCAAAGGTAAAGTACATCTGAAGAATATAAAATAAAATGATAGTACAAACAAGCAAACAGTGTGCATGAAAATGTTGGCAAACACTAGAAAAAATACTAAGGTACTTTCTCAAACTCGACATGAATACTAAAGAAGTTTTATGTAGCTGTACTGCACATACCAAAAGCTTTCCTGTCGTTAAAGGTTGGTTGCCTAGTAGTTATGTAGTATGTACAAGTTTTTCCCTCTATTTCTTCTAATTTAAGAAGCGAAAATGTCTCTAAAAATCTTATGGTTGTCATGAAGTATTCCTGATCATTTTACTGATTACTTACGATTGTCCTATTTCTGAGGGTCACCTTCTGATGAGTGTGTTCTCTGCAATGTTCACAACTGAAGTTCCTGTTTGACCTATTACATATTGAAAATCCTCAATGAACATAATTATGGTTTTAATTTCCATTGCAATTATTGATTACTTTAAAAAAAAAAATCTAAACCAATTTATTGTAACATAATACCAAGGAAAATATTTATGAACTATCAATGGAAAAAAGGAATCATTATCTCCAGTTATCCTAAAGTCACAAGTAAGCATTAATCCCATAAATTCACATACGTAAACCCATTAGCTTTTTGTGCTATTAAATCATAGTAAAGGAAATCAAGTACTAACCCACAGCTTGGTGGCAATAAAGTTACTATCCCCGAGTAAAAAGTGACAAGCCCAAATATAGAGGCAAAAATTAAAAAGTAACATTGAAAAAAAGTTCATCGTGAAAAAAGTCAGGGTGTTAACTACAGATGATTCTTTTTAAAATTAAAGTTTAATTTAATTTTCGCTAGTAAAATTTAATCATATATAAATTAATGATTTAAAAAAATTAAAAAAAGATTTTAAATACGCCTTTTCTGGTCATTCACTAGTTTGTCTAATTAAAACGAAGCAAAAATCATTTTGTTTTCATCTTGAATCATTTAAACCCATATATGGCGTATGTACAATGAAAATTATTAGACTGAAATTATAAAAACTTATTATTTGTATCATTAATTTTATATAAACATGATAAAGATAGAAATTTTCCGTAAATTACAAAATCTAAGTCAACTGCGTTATAAAGATATCAAAATTTAATTTAGATTCTCGAAATTTTCTCCGACTTGGAAGAAAATAGAAAAGATTTAAATAACACATTACAGAGAAGATAAAATCGTATTATTGGATGAAACGAGGTGTTCTCTGTGCTCCAAATTGTATGAAAAGCTTTAATTTAAAATTAATGTATTAACTATATTTCTTCACTTAATTTTGTATTTTTCAAAAATATATCTTTTGATCGGGTACGCCATATATGGCTTTAAATAAAAAAAGCGCAACATAATTGCATGACACTTATCATTGAGCTGATTGAGTGAATGTATATAATTTAATAATGAGATATCTGTGAGGCATTTATGTACATGCAAATATTGCTATGTTAAACAAAGGAAAGGGGGAATTCAAATTAGGAAAAAAAAGATCGTTTTTAAGTAAATCAATCTGGTAGTACTGCAAAATGGATGCAGTTGTGGAGATTTATGGATAATAGGAGCATGCTGTCTGGAATATTCCATATAGAGAATTTAATAGCAAAAAGGATTGAAAATACCGGTGGTGCTTTTCATGTATTACATGTGTATTTTAAAATTTCTAATAACCCAAGGGGATTCCTCAGTGCATAAAACCACTAGCCCCATCCTCAAAAATGGAAGCCCCGGGTGTAGCGTGATGCTAATTACACACCCATCATGTGAAATAGTTAAAGTAGCCCTATATCAATTTCAGTATTGTTTTAAATTAATCAAAACAAATGCCAAAAACAATAATTAAAAAAAAAAATCAAAATAAAGCAGACACTCAAAATCAAAGACAGAAAGAAGCACTGTTTTGACTGAACGTTTTTCAGTAATACAATGAATCTCTTACATATCAGATGAGATAAACTTACATACAATTATTAAGTTGTTGTCAATTACCCCATTTATCATCATCTCAGCTCACTTTGCGATTGTAATACTGTCTACATAAACCGATAATTTACAGCTGATTTATGAACACACGATTGTTAAAATTTTCATTTCCCTTTCCACTATACATTGTCAGAACATACTTAGTTGGTTATGATATAAAATTACATAATTAACACTTTCGATTTATTAAAGATTATCTAACAATATACGATCATTTACTAAATACTTCTCGTTTTCAAGAGAGTTAAAAAGACAGAGAAAATTCAAAATACATACAAGTGCAACTTAGGATTAATTGATCCGATATATTTATTTTAATTTTGTGCACAATTGTTTTCAAAATTACATTAAAATCAATTTTCCTTAAACAAGAACCCAGCAATAGATAAATATTAATCGAATAAACTTACCTTTTCTCTTGTCAATCAGACAATCTTGTTGACATTAAGTGTTTCTTAGTCGCCATATTTTTTTCCATGAAAACAAACGTTGTTATGATCAGGATCAACGGAAGTTGATTTTCGGAACTCTCGAGAATTTAGAGTTCCGAATGTAAAACTGAAACACAAAACACGGTGCGTCCGTGAAAGCAACTTTTTTGGACACTTTTTTTGGACAAATCGTCATGTCCAAGTTTTGTTGGGTACTAACCTGCGAATACCCAATTAGGGTGTTTTAAGCATATTCAGCGACACTTCTTATTGGGTATACCCAATAAGCAAAAAGTACCCAATAAGTACAATCTTGGCATGAAAAATACCCAATAAATGCACTCTCGTAAACACGGACGGACGGACATGAAGCCTATAACATAATACGTCCCGTCTTAAGACGGGCGTATAAAAATTGAGTAGAAATGAAAAAGAAACTCAATAATTCAAGAACAAAAAAAACCCTTATGAATATTGGAAAATCCAGAACACGAACAACACAAACTGCAATAAGCAAAGATGTAATGCTGATTTGATGACCTTTTTACATTTTATAAAGAATGCTGTAATGAACACTATAACGAACAAGAGTCAGGGTCCACATTACTAACACAAAAAGAGCTTGATATATTGGCTGATGTTCAGCTTAATTATGAAACTGACCAACAAAAAAGGCATGATTTATGATAACATTATTTAAGAACCCCTCTGGTAATATTCACATTCAATTTCAAGCCTCTAAGTTTAGTGATATATTTGTCCATAAACATGGAAAATTGACCGGTTGCTAGGGAAAATTTCTTTGGCCATGTTTCCATAGTAACCAGGACCCAAAATAATTTTCATTTTACATACGTGGTTCATAGGGTAAGAGAAACCTATGTGTGTAAAATCATCGAATTCTGAGAACCCTCATGATTCACCTTTTGTCTGATTCTTACAGAGACCTGTACTTAAGGACAGATGATACAAACAAACTTTTGTCAAAGAATTTGAAAATAGCAACTTGGGTCATATTTAAATGAGTAAAATGAATAACTTTCACTTTATTCAATTTCGCACAAAAATGGAATCTGAAGTGAAAAATATTTGTATAGATAAATAAGGATGGTTTCAGATGAGCGGGCTTTTGAACACCACAGAAAGTTTACAATATCTTAATATTCAGGAAATTTACTATTTTCATCATTTGCAGTAAAATAAGGCCAAAAAATGTATACCAATCCAGACATCCATTTTTTGTTTGTATCATCTGTCCTTAATACGCAACAGTATTTAAAATATGTTGAAAAATAACAAGGCATGTGGCGATGATAGAATCTTGATGAATATCTTTGAAATACATGTGACTGCATGTTGAATTTATACACTGAAATGTTCAACAAAATTTTTGACTAAGGTGTAATACCCACTGAATGGGCTTGTGGAAACATAATGCCAGTATACAAAAATAAAGGAGACAATAAATTATCATAAGAATTATAGACCTATTACACTACTGAATTGTCTAGGAGAATTATTTACTGCAATTATAAACGAAAAATTAAACTCATATGCTGAAAAATACAACTCATTTTGGAAAATGAAGCAGGTTTTCGCAAAGGTATGGGTACAATAGACAATATTTGGTTTATTACACTCTCTTGTAGAACTTTTTAAAAGGCACAAAATGAAACTGTGCATAGCATTTATTGATTTTGAGACAGCATTTGATTCGGTTTGGCATATAAGATTATGGAATAAAGTTTTGCGAAAAAATATGAATAGAAAATGTTTAAAGATTATAACCAACATGTATAAAGGTATAAAATCAAAAGTGGTAGTTAATGAAATAAGTTCAGAAATATTTGAATGTAATATAGAAGTTCGACAAGGGAAGAATTTGTCGCCATTGTTATTTTCATTGTACTTGAAACATTTATCTGGAAATAAAGCTAAAGGTTTATCATGTTTGCCAGCTCTTTGTATTATTGTGTGCTGATGCTACTATTTTGTTATCTGAAAACCCAGATGATTTTTAGTACATGCTAAAAACGTTTTTCTAAATATTGCAAAAATTGCACCTTAAGGTTAATAGTAAGAAAATGAAAGTTGTAATATTTGGAAAAGGAAAAAATAACGACCCTTTTACATTTGAGGGCTTATTTTATGACGTCATCATTCAATGCATGTTTTAGAGATTGTAAGAACTTCAAGGAAAAGATTAACAATAATTTTTTTATGTTATAAAGAAAAACTTTGAAAAACTAACTTTGGCATAAATACATGTAAATGAATACTTAAAACTGAATAATTGAATTTAAAAAACGTAAAGATATTCTTAATGATACTTATCGTTATTATTATTGAAATAAGCACACCGTTCATTTCTCCGATAATGTAGCAATATTAAAGAAAAAAATGTGTCGTCATCTTTCAATGTGCATTTTGGATTTAAAATTAGCCTACGTCTACGTATTTATTTACATGAAGAACTCAACTGAGATATTTAATTCTTTATTTAACCTCATATAAGCATAGATTGATATTGTGTTCAATTATAATGCTTTACAACTTTAAATGAATGAAAATTATTTATTTTAATAAAACGACATAATTCATTGCCTTAATGTAACAACTTTGTTTGGAAGCAAAATTTAAAAATTGTTTAATTCCTCTGTCTATACCTGACTTTTCTCTATATTTTACCGTTAGGTTAAAAACAAGTTGAAACACTTCACACTACAAAGGACATTATACAATGTCAAGTCCAATTTTAAAATTCATTGGCAAGGCAGGGTTTCAGAGGAGAACAAGTTTTTATAGTGTTTTTTTCACTTATAAAAACACACTCGGAGCTTCTCGGGTGCATGGCACGTACATGTACCTCGCACACTAATCTCGGACGTCAAAGGTGTTCTACCATCTTGCTGATTCCGTCATATGATCTCATTAGGGCTCCGCAAGGACTTGCAGTTGACCAAAAGTAATCACTTTGTCTGTCCGTCCATCCGTCTAGCTGTCTGTCCCTTTGTCATTCTTCTGTCCACAAATGTTGATTTTTATATAATTTTTTATAGTTGATCAATTACGTTCAAATTTTGTTTGTTGGTTAAATAGGCAGTAAGACATTTTTTGATGTTTAGCTTGTTTCTATATGTCTCTGACAGGGTTCTCCATCATTTGAAAAACTGTGGCGCAAAACTAATGCGAAGTGGTAAAATTCGCGGTAATTTCGCGACGGAATTTGCGAAGGAACCAAGAAATGATTTAAAATCACAGATGCTGTGATTCACTTGTTTCATTTAGACAAAACTGACATTTATCATAATAACCTATGATGAAACAAATTTTTATTATAGAATCTAAAATTAACAATGCCAGTTGTTTCATAATATCTCTATAGTAGTTTTTATAGAACAGAGAAAAGTCTGGTAGGTCACACATTTACGCCGATATCATTGTATACATTTGCAATTATTGGATTGAAAATTAAAATATCTTTTAATCTGTTGCTTTAAAAAACAAATTAATTTTAAGAAATAAAATAATATTTTCGTGGATGTATTGTTAATTTTCAACATTACAATTTAAAAAAAACACAATCCAGACACGTACAATGTTTTGACTTGCATTGCTAATGCAATTTTGGAGACGCGGTTATCTTCAAGCATGTTTAGAACTACTGTATTAAAGCATGAATTAATTGATATTTAAAAATTTCAATTGTGGTTATTGTGAAGTTTGAAAAAACGGTTTATCTCTTGCCATTCATGTGTCCAGTGATCCTATGAGGTCTAGAAGATAATTGATTGTGCAAACCAAACAATGGCCCGTATTAGAGCAAATTAACAGTTAAACATTAGCAACTGAAAAACGGTACATAATTTAATTTCATTTGGTTTATAAATTTTTATCACACTAACGACGTTAATCTTACTTTGGCGCTAATGTTTTAACTGTGGCGGAAGTGGCGCTGATTTTTTTAACTGTGGCTGGGCGGCATGTTAAACGGGCAATGGAGAGTCCTGCACTGGTTTGGAGGTTAGGTGGTGGGGGTAGATTCCTTAACTTTAAATAAGAATGAATTGGCAAAGAGAGTTAGGCTTTATTGCTGAAATGTTCCCATTGTAAACTGTGAAAGATACAATGAGTCCCTTGGGATTAATTAGCTTTCATCTTGTAGGAAATCCAAAGCATATTCTTGGTCTGCCACATTGAGATTAATTACGATATTAGTTCGATTGAATTATCAAATTACAAGCCAGTCGAATGAATTAAAAATAAAAAGACATCATGAAGTATAACATTTTTACGCTTTCGGATGTATCACTAAACTCAAAGATATTCAAAGATATTCAGAGCAAAATACAAACTAACCATGTAACTTGTGATCAAATCCTGTGAAGGCCGAAGGCCTTCTCAGAAGATTTGATCACGTACCGACCCACTTCAATTCCCATTGAAGTTTATAAACTTGTTATTTATTACTTATATATACATTTGAGACAGACAATTGAATATTTTCGAATTTAAATTATTGCACTAACCGTCCGTCGTAGATTTTGAAAAATTAAGTAAGGTGTAAATCGGCTTGCATGGCGGTTACGCTTCGAATTCATTAGGCTAAGGAATGTATTTCGAAGGGAATATTTTGTGAAAGGCTACTTGTGATCAATAATAGTGAACAGATTGTTTTCTGGGAATATTTTTTATTTGTGAAAATTGATAATCGATGCTGAAAAGACACAAGAAACACGTCCGAAGTCTGATGATAAACAGTTGGAGGATTTTCGGTCGCCCGAAAGGGATGGATGGATCCGATCCAATGGATTGAGACACTTGTCCGAGCCAGTTATTTTGCAATTTGATCAAAAACATTCTACGATTTCAGTAACTAAAGGCATACTTATCATAAAACACTGATAAACACCAAGACACTGGCGACAGCTTTACATTGAACTACGAAAACGCCGAGGTGTTTGGCAGCTGTTCATGGCATGATTGCAAAGATATAATTTTCCAACAGATTTACACATTTATCGTGATTAAAATTTAAAGATAAAATAAAAGTTTATCATGAATATTTAACCAAAGGTCTACACAAAAAATAGGGATGAGCGTTAGAGACTGTGCAGCTGACAAAAGTGAAAAAAAATGTAAACAAACGCTAGACTAGATTTCTCTACATATACAGGTTGAATCGATAGCCAAAAAACTGTATGAAATACTTGTTTACATTGTAAATAAAATAATTTAAATGGCTTATTTTGTTCATTTTTATACAAGAAAAGCAAGTAGAGCAGGTCATTTTATAATTTATGTACCGGT